ACAATTCGAGTATGACAATTCAGATTACCGCTCATCTCATTGGTCGAGGAAAGGTCGCTTGCGGAGAAAATACCAGAAGACAACAGATGACCACAACAAGAAGCATGGCCAACAGGGAAACAAACGCCGACACTGCGGTGCAAGTCTCGGACGACAGTACACCTAAAGCTGGGCAGGCACTGCGATTTTTTCTGTCATGTGCTCTGGACTGTGCTGATGTGTGAAAGGAGGACGTGGAAAACAGCTTATTATAAGTCTTTTAATCCACTCTTACTAATTAAGCAAGAGTCAGAAGTGAAGAAAACACCATAGAGCCTTGTTATGGCAGAGGTTTCTTCCTGTTAAAAGTGAGTTTTTCCTTCCCAAAGTGCTTGCTCATGTGATTGTTGGATCTACCTTACAATATAAAGCACCTTAAGGTGACTGTTGTTGTGATTTGGTGCTGTATAAGTAAAATTGAATTGAACTATGGAGGCATAATTCTACAAAATCCACCATGAAATAACATTATATGGTGTTTATTCACTCCTTTGTTTATTCACCCAATAAACAGAGGTTAAGGCATTTTCTTTTTTAGTTGCTTGTCTGTTGTGGCTTTGGTGACTTAAATGCAAGGGGGTGGGAGATGTGCGTCCATGATGATGATGATGGTTCTCCATTCTTTGTTTCTGTCTTACAGACAGTGATTCATAAGCATTTATGATTAGCGTCAATACTCCCAGTACTACTGCTTTGATAAGTGTTCATGACACAGATGTTACCACTAACCTTTCAAATGTTCTGAAAAATGCACAGTGTTTGTGAAATAATTGAAGTCCTTCTTTGTGCACCTGACAGATTTGTACGTGAGCTAATGCATTGATCCCCTCACCTCATTTGCTGAATCTTCGATCAGGAGCCTTCAGCTGCTGAGGGATGCTGGCATCAGGAAGAGAGAACCATGCAGCAGTGTAATATACAGGAAGAGCTGATTGGATCACACCAAGTGCAGCTCTGTCACAGGCGGTAGAATTAAGTATTTTTTCTTAAATTTTCTTTGACTTATGAGTTGCCTGTTTGCTTAGTGTTGTGTTGAGTATTATTTATTTGATGTAACTTTCAAATCAAACTGATTTAATCTTTGATTTTCATCAAATGACCATTTGACCTTGACCTTCATGGTTAGAGCCCAAGGTCAAAGTTGATCTTGAAAATGTTTTTTTTTTCAAGAAACCACATTGATAATGTATCATATGAAAGGGCGTGGAGAGACTTCTTAATTTTTTTTAATATGATACCTTATTACATCACAATAACGCCGTAATGCTTCACAAAATCACCCACTGAGTGAATATATCTGAAAATCTTAAGTTTTTATAGTTTATAGTAGCCAAAGATTTCAGCCAATTCAGCTCCAATCACATGGATAAAGAAAAGAAAATAGTAATAATCCTTTGAGGTCACAGATCAAAGGTCAGTTGCTATAAAAGCAGGCTGATACCAGCATGTTCTAATAAATACATCGTACAACATCAAAGTTTTAGTATAGCCCTTGGCCCTCAGGGGGGCGTTGTCGTCTCAGAGTGCTCTTGTTCTTTGTGTGTTAGGTCACCTTTTTTTTGTTTAGCAGTTAGCTTGCAGTTATGCAAAGTTGCTTATTTGGCTTGAGTTTAGTTATGTTCATTTGCCCTCTTTTGCCCTGTATTGTGAGCTCATTTTGTATATTTTTGTGTGTTTTAGGATAAATAAACCCCTCTTCTCTCAAAGTCCTCACTTTGTCCTCATATCTAACCAGCTCGATCCACAGAGTTTTTGTAAAACTGGCCCCCAGACTTGTGCTTCAGATCTGTGGCCTCGGCAGTGTCTAAAAAACAGCTTAAAGCTCATCTCCTTAGACTTGCATTTGGTTAGTGTGGTTTGTTTTTTTTAGGGGAGGGGTGCTTTTGAAAAGTGCTCATTTTAATTACTTACATGAGTACTTCTTTGATTTTCTTTGGCAAATTTATGACTCTAAAATGTGAGGCATAAATGCCAAATATTATGCTTCGTGAAACCCTCCACCCACTCATGCAGCCAGTCCAATGTATTTTAAAACCTTACCCTTACTCCACATAGAAAAAGCTGCTTTAATGTTGTTGCTTTTAATATTTCACTCTGAGAACAGGAAAAAGCGTGGTTTGAGTCATTAAACAATTCTAAGAAGTGTCACCACAAGAACCACAAGACCCTTACATGTATGAGTTGACTTGAAAAAGCTGGGGGTGCTTCTGCTTTGTAGTCGCAATGCTGACATTCATATCCCTGATCAGAGCATCTACTTTGAAATTGAGGTTTTATTAAGGTTTGGTGAAATGCAACAGTAAAACAGAGTGAGCTTAATCATTTCAGCTGTTTATTTGTGTTAGCTGTGCACAGATACAGACAGAAGAATTAAAAAAAAAACATTGCATTGCAAAGGAAATAAAGGTAAGTTAATGCAGATTGGAAACAAAGCTGAAGTCAAAAGTAATGATTACTTGAGCTAAGTCTTCTCAGTCATTACTGCGATTTTTTTTTCAATGTTTATTCATACATCTAAAGTTAGTCATGCTCATTAACGTCAATAAGTGGAGCTCCATTCTCTGCATAAAAGAGCAGCTCCAACTCCTTTGACCTAAAGAGAGAAAAAAATAATTGTGGTGTAAAATCAGGGTTGCAGTATCATCGGTGTCATTGTAGTATTAAGGCATGTTTGCATGCTGAATTTGGTCTCAGTCTCAAACTTAACATCTAAAGTTAAAGTCGCTGCAAAGTGAATCATCTGACAAATGAAAGCATTTCGATGAACCCCTGGGAACTTACTTGCATGCTCCCATGTTGACACAGATGGTCCTCACATCATCAGTTGTTGTGAGTTCCTCAATTAATTCTCCAAGGTGGACCTTCACAAATTTGCGGCAGAGTGATTTTAAGAGTCCAATACCATCGCAGACAGAGAGCAACTTTGACTTCAGGCTCTGTGAAAGAGAAACTTGTATTGCTGCTCTGACTGAATAATGCCGTTAATTGTTGCTGGTACTCTATGAGACATTTTACCTCTGCAGTGGCGTTTGGTCCTGCAAGTTTCTTCACCTTGTTTAAAATCCACTTGCAAGCCCAGCACTTTCCTGGAAGCTGCAAATATAAGACACACCCATGCATGTTAGGTGTATTGGTGACTCTAATCAATAAGCTGTAGATGTGCGAGCGAATGGTCGTGTGTGTCTATGTGCCATCCCTGTGAGTGGCTACCCGATCACAGCGTACCCTCTTAATCTTACCCAGTATTAGCTGGGATAGTCTCCAGCCCCAGTGCAAAACTTGTTTGATAAGTCATTCAGGGAATTTATCCTACTTAGAGACATGTTTCAGTATATTCCGTGGATACACTGGTATACTCATTTCTTTGGCAAGCTCGTTAAATACCATGCAATGTTATGGTTTTGTTGGACTTAGTGTGTGGTTAACCTCAAAATATCAGCATAGTTGGGGTTTCAGAAGTCAGATATGTCCCCACATTGTGTTACAAATGAACAAAATTCATTTGTTTTTCTCATTTCTAATCCAATGATTGTTGTTGGCATAGAAATTAATTTGACATGAAAAAGCTTTTCACAAAGACTGCAAAGTGTGACTCCTGATATCAAAAGGTGGACTGATAAAGTGTAACCTAAGTTCTTTAATATTAACACTAACCCCACTTGCCCCCATCGAAATTCCCACGTCCACGTCCTCTTCATCATCGATGCTGACCTCTACGGTCCGTCCATGGACAGCACGGACTGCGATTCAAACAAACAGAAATACTTAATCACACTTTAAATCATAAAGAGAAGATTTGGCAGTTTCATACGGATTCTCATGCAAACCAATTTTTTCATTACACACCTGAAAATGTTGCCACGAGGCACAGAAAGAGGAGGGAAGACGTTTCCATCGCAGCCACTGAGAGATAATGCTAGTATCTGTAGTTATGGCTGCTTTTAAACAGTTAAAGGTGCATGGGCTCTACACACACCTCATTGCAAGGCGTAAAATTCAAACCACATGTGAGAACACATTTTGCGTGGTTTGGGTGCCACGCTGTGAGAAAGTCACGCACCACCTCGCCCACCCACTAAAGAACAATTAGTGTGTTGTCCACATTTAGAACACAGTGATCCTTTTATGGCTTAAGGCTGTCACAGTGTCCCTGCCTCATTGTTAACACCCCTGAAAATCAATGACTGTATCATGCTATAAATTTATGTGTAAATCTTATTCTAAACCTTTAATATGCAGTTTATTGATCCACAAATATGTATTTCAGTTTTGTGGTCATATATAAACAAAAACCAACACTGATTTTGGACAGAGGTAATTGTAACTGTGCAGGCCTATTTTCTCAACCTGCCTATAAGTTAATAACTTCCTGGAAGGCAATGTGCGACCTTATAAGGGTCCAGTGAGGCGACTCAGTTTTGAAAATAGACTTTCACATTTCTGTCAGAGATCAGAGGTGAGAGAGAACTCTTAAAGTCAGAAGCTCAAAGAATTGCAGCATTTGCAGTACACAGGTTTACTAGCTGCTAATTCAAGCTCACTAGCTGCTTACTGATAGTAATAAGAGTAAAATCTGCACACCTCATTGCTTCTGTGCAACAGAGGTTTTGGAGAAGACAAAGCAACTTCCCAATGGAACCTGTGTGGATTAATTATATGTCAGACGTGAAATTATTATGTAGTTTTATTTGTTGCAAGTAAACAGGACACATTATGAGTAAAATAAGACTTTCTAATTCTAATCAATAGAGTCAATTGCTTTGTTAATAGCTTAGTAGTTACAGAAGACGGTCATGCTTTATGGTGATGACTAATTAGGCAATATGTTTCCAGTATGCACACTCAAAAGCAACTATTTTAATTTTCATCTAGTCTATAGTTGACAGAATATGAGTCTCATAATACGTATATGTATAAGAAAACCAATGACATCACAGTAAAAATATGTTTTTTTATTGGGAGGGAAAAAGCAAGAAAACATGAACACAGGCTTGTGTTATTAACACAAACAGTTGAAGCATCACAAGTTCTTCAGAACTTTATAAAAAGGTGGCCTTGCAGAGTTTCAGATTAGTGCAGATGGTCTTGGCAGACTTGCCGTTGGTCAAGGCGTCAATCAACTTGTTTTTTACTGTTTTCAAGATCTTTCTGCAGGCCGACTTTAGGAAATTGAATTTCAGTTTATTACAGGCACCATCCAACAGCCTCCTGATTTTGTCCTTCAAGTAAAAATATGTGAAAACAGTAAACAAGCAGCTTCAGTATAGGTTTCTTAAAGGTTAAATTAAAATAGCTTTAAATTATGTGTCCAACACTGAGACTATAGACGAAAAAAGTATGACAAAAACAGCAAATGCACAGCATTAATAAAACTTGACAATAATGTCTCTGCTGGCTTGTGGCATATATGTACAAAGCTACAGATGCGTCAAAAAATATTTGCCCCCTTCCCTTTTCTAGATTTTTGCATATTTGTCACACTTACATGTTTCAGATCATCAAACAAAGTTTTACATTAGACAACGAGAACCCGAGTAAATACAAAATGCAGTTTTTAAATGATGATTTCATTAATTTAGGGGAAACAGCTGTCCAAACCTACCAGGTCCTGTGTGAAAAAATGATTTCCACTCTTGTTAAGTTATGATTTAATTGATTAACCACATTTTTGGAAAGCTGACTTCAATTTCATTAACCCAGCCCAGGCCTCATTACTGCCAGAAATCCTTACAGTAAGCTAAGAAAAAGTGTCAAAAGCAACACATCATGCAACGATGTAAAAGAATCAGCTCATTGACCTCTTTCAGTCTGAAAAGGGTTTCTAAGGCTTTGGGATTCCAATGAACTACAGGGAAAACCATTATCCACAAATGGAGAAAACCTGGAACAGCGGTGAACCTTCCCAGCCTACCAAAATTCCTCCAAAAGCACAGTACTGACTCCTCCAGGAGGTCACTAAGGAGCCCAGAAAACTTATTACAGCAGTACTGTTCACCATATATTACAGTCATTACCTTTGATTTATCACTTCCAATCTGCTTCTGCACTCTGGACACAATAGTCATGCAAGTACGGCAGGAGCCTGGAAAAACTTCATCCCACAGAATCTGAGATAAAAGTTTTGGTAAAAAGTTTTCAATTTGCACAAAATAACAAAATAAGCTTCTCTACAAGGGAAACTTTGTCAAATTTTAGCTTTCTCACCTCCTCTTTGTTGTGGTCACCTTTCTTTTTTTCATGCTGTGGAAAATGCTCCTCCTTAGTTTGGTCCTTCAGAGTCTTCAACGATGCAACAAAAGCTAAGAAATAAAGCATGCTTTAGAAAAGTAGTTCAGTTATCTTAAAGGTGGAGTAAATATTGCTACTTTTTTACTTGTGGAGAGCAGGAGAAGGCCGATGGTGATGGCAGGACTCATGGTTTTCCACGCTGTCAGATTTGTGCTGTTTTCTGGGCCTTTTATACTTCTCTGCGGCTTATTCAGTTTACTTCTCAAAAAAAAATCAGCACTTATTTTACCACATAGTGACCCTTAAACAGCATTTTTAAAATTTGCAGAATAAAGTGTTTTTTAAACAGCATTAACTGTCAGTTGAAATACAACCCCAACTCTAACAAGGTTGGGATTCTGTGAAAAAAGGAAATCAAAAGAGAATTCATTGATTTGCACATCTAGTAAATAAAATAATTTGCATTGTAAAACATAAAAAACATACCAAATGTTTAAACTGATACATTGTAACCTTTCGAGTAAAATATTGGTTCATGTTGAATTTGATTTCAGCCACATATCTTAAACAAGTTAGGACAGGGGCAAAAAAAAAGCTGGAAAAGTAAGCGGTTCTCAAAGGAAACAGCTGGAAGAACATTTTGCAAATGATTAAACCAGCTGGCTTTATTTAGTATAAAAAAGCGTGTCACGGAGAGGCAAAGGTTTTACAAGTAAAGATGGGCCAAGGTTCACTGATCTGCAAAAAAACCCCTGCGAAGTGTGGAATAATTTACAAACAATATTCTTGAGGTTGTCTTGAAAGCTTCCTGAAAACCTTCAGTTGATTCAAAATCCTGCAGTGAGAATACTGACAGGGACTAGAAAGAGAGAGGCATATCATCACTGATCAGGCACAATTATATGAGCACTGACAAAAAAGAAGTTTAGAATTATTTTACGGGGAAAGTGTTTTTTTTTTGTCCTCAGAGTTGATGTTAGGAGCATAAAAAAATATAAGAGCAAGCGTAAGGATTTAAGCAAGTATGACAAGGGTCAAATTGTGATACTGGCTGTAGCTCAGGTGGTAGAGCAGGTCACCTGGACAAGATACTAACTGCATGTTTATTTCTGATTTATCCATAGTAGTATGAATGTGTGTGAATGTTAGTCATAGGAGGCCCTAAAGTGGCTCAAATTCCCAAAAAGGTCAGTGCTTGCTGTAGTTATGGATGAGGGTCGCCTGGTCTACTGAATCTTTTCATTTACATCACATGGATGGCTGGGTGTATGTGCGTAGCTTCCCTGGGGAACATGAGCACCAGGATCTACTTTTGTGTGCTGTGGTTATTTATGCTCCCCTGGTTTGACTTGCATCTTATCGTGGGTGCGCATGAAGAGGTGAAAAACATGCACAAATTTGATAGCTCTTCTTACATTTCTTGTCTTGGCAGCCCATTCTCCCACTGGTAAGCTGCAGCTTTGAGCTAATGTTAAAAGCATATAAGTGCATGGTCTAGCAGCTCCTTTATTTTATGTTTTTAATCAATGCAAAATGTAAAATGCAATGTAAAAATAAAGGAAAAATAGCTTCTTAATGATGTGAACCGCATCTCTGTCTGATAACTTGTTCTTAGTGACTGGTATATTTTTGAAGTAAATATTGCAAGGGCAGTGTTATCAGATTTTACTTCAGATCTACATTTTAAAGATCTTACCGGCCCTCTCCACCACCACTATGCTTTTTGTGGCTCTCACACCACAAGTTTTCACATTTTGACCACGTGTATATTTTGAGGTTCCGTCAATATTCGTATCTGTATGTGTTTTTGTGTGAGAATATGTGCAAAATGGTGCAATGTGAAAGAATTGTGCAGGCACCTTTTCTCATTTTACCTGTAAGTTAGTAACGTCCTGACATTATAATGGCAATCTCAATCCCCACACTACAGGGCTGTTGGGCCTCTCACACCGCATGCCACTTTTGATATTTCGCCAAATGTATGGTTTGAGTCTTCCATTGTGTATTTCAATTTTGAAGATATATTTGCTAGTGAGCTTTCTATGGTTTTAACAGCTGAAAAGGAAACGCAGACCAACACCTTCTTGCTTCGAACGCTTACGTGTTGTACATTCTCGCTTTCAAGAGCACAGTCAGCAACATTGTAAAAAGAAAAAAAATGCTGCTGACAGTTGCTGACATGTGTCATAGAGTATAGAGAGTATGTGTGAAAGTTCACAATCTGACAGAATTGCAAAATTGAAAAACAACTTAAAAATGGACATACCTGCATGAAATCCTATCATGTTCTTCTAAAACTGCAAAGAGAATATGGGAATGTGTGGCAAACACCGAAAACGCAAGGTTAATGACTCTTTAGCTTTTACACACTGCTGAGCAGGTAGTGCAGAGCCTGTGCAAACAGTGAGGGGGAAATTAAGCAGTCAAGTTGTGGGCCGGCAGGTGCTGTGCATGAAAATATCAGTAAAGACATGAGGTTGGTCAGGTGGGAATAAACTAAGGCTGCTTAAGGTCATCCCCTCTTGTAGGTGCTGTTATGAATCTATTTCAGCTGAAATAGAACAAGATACACCCCAGTTAGGTCACCAGTCTGTCACACATAAGCGGATGAAAATGGATTGATAAAAATATCCAAAAGGACATTCAAGATGATTCACTAAAATAAAAGTATTACCAAATGAACAGTGGTTCATTTCCAACGTCCTATTGGAGAACACATCCGTGAAAGAGTCAGTTTCACACATGCCGCCACAAAGGCACCACTTACAACTGGGGAAATTTCCTGCGGGTTTTTAAAGCCAAGTTGTTCTGAGTGGCAGATAGCTTTGAAAAAATTTCATGCATGCAATGGCGAGGCTCTTCTTGAAACAAAGGAAGTGCAGAAAACAGTTTTCTTAAAGTAGATATGAAACACTGCATTTTTAAGGGCTAATTTACTCAATGGACACCTACTATAAAACACTCATAGATTTACTGTGAAGCTTTGATTTCAAGATTTGAGATTCAAAGTGTTTATTGTCATGTGTACAGAAGAAATAGCATTTCTCTGTGCAATGAAATTATTCCTTTGCTGTCCATACACAAATGCCAAGTTAGGTAAGGGTTAAAGGAACAAGATAAATAAGGATAAAAATAAGGATAAAAATTAATGAAAGATAATTAAATAAGTACAAAAATAAGTAAGTGAAGACAAGTGAGGTATGCAGATGTACAAAGGAGCTTAATGTGCAAAATGAACTTAGTGTGCAAAGTGTCCTGATGTGCAAATTGCAGCCGTTCAGGAGTCTGATAGCAGTGGGGAAGAAGGAGTTGTTGAGTTGTGAATTTCTGGATTGGAACAGTGCGTGTTGAGCGTGTGTGGGGTCTTTGAGGATGGAGGCAGCTCTCCTCTGGACTCTGTGATGGTATGCTCTGCAGAGAGGGCAGCGGACTCCTGGTGATCTTCTCCGCAGTCATCACTCTCTGCAGGCGTTTGCGGTCCGTAGCAGTAGTGCTGCCGTTCCATGCAGTGATGCAGCTGGTCAATGTGCTCTCCACAGTGCAGCTGTAGAAGCTGCTGAGGATCTTGGTCGACATACCAAATTTCCTCAGCCTCCTCAGGAAATGCAGCCGCTGCTGAGCCTTCTTGACCAGCTGTTTGGTGTCCAGGTGAGGTCCTCACTGAGACCCACCACAGTCGTGTCATCGGTTGCTGCACAGTTATGAGTCAGCAGAGTGAACAGCAGTGGGTTGAGCACACAGCCCTGAGGGGCTCCAGTGCTCAGTGTGGTGTGTGGTGTATACTCTGTCGCAGGGCTAAAACAGAGACTGGCAACTCATCCATACATGTGTAACCAGTATGAGGCTTTTATTGCGTTACCCTTACCCCAGATAGAAAAGGGGTGTTTTTGTTCATTTACTTTTAATATTCCCCACTGAAAACAGAAAATAGAGGTCTGACTTTCTTTACACCATTAAAAATTCTAAGAATTACCACCAGAAGAATCACTAAAAATGTATGTGCATGACTTGACTCAGCAAAAGCTGTGGTGCTCCTGCTTCATAGTGACAGTTCGAACATTCATATCTTTGATAACAATGGCTGCTCTGAACTTGAAGTTTCATTTAGATTTGGCAAACACAAAAAAACAGAGTCAGTGAAATGATTTAATCTGTTTATTTTTTAAGCTCTGCATAGATAGAAGAATGGAAAATGCAGCCATTGTAAAGGAAATAAAGGTAAGCTGTTTTGAAGGATAAAAGTGATGATACTTTAAAGTGTGGGAGCTAGCTCTTGTCAATTATTTTTGGAATAAAGTTTGATGGGTTTTTTTTCATGCATGTAAGGTCATTGAAACTCCTTAATTTCAGTGTCTGGACCTCCCTCCTTTGGATAAAAGAACAGGTCCACTTCCCTTGGCCTAAAGAGGGAAAATTGGAAAAACAGAAACACATACGTTTAAATATAATGAGTTATGATAAAAACTATATTTCATTGTTTTATTGTAATCATCATTAAAGTATCAAGGGTGTGAACCCTGATTTAAACCATATGGTTTCAGGTCAGTAAGACAAAATAGTGGGAACTTAAAGTCGCTACAAAGTGACTAATCCCAATAATCTGAAAAATGAAAGCATTTAGATGAACCACTGCGAACTTACTTGCATGCTCCCATGTTGACACAGATGGTCGTGAGTTCCTCGATCAATTCTTCCAGGTGCACCTTCACAAATTTGCGGCACAAAGGTTTTAAGAGTCCAATTTCATCGCAGATAGAGAGCAACTTTGACTTCAGGCTCTGTGAAAGTAAAACTTGCATTACTGTTCTGACTGAATGATGCCGTTAACTGCTGCAGGTACTCTATGAGACATTTTACCTCTGCAGTGGCGTTTGGTCCTGCAAGTTTCTTCACCTTGTTTAAAATCCACTTGCAAGCCCAGCACTTTCCTGGAAGCTGCAAATATAAGACACACCCATGCATGTTAGGTTTATTGGTGACGTTAATTTTAGTAGTACTTTTTCCAGGTTGGAATCATTAAACAACATATATCTTTCAATTTCGGCACCATGGTGAAAAAGGCATGGATGTGAGAGTGAATGTTTCTGTGTTTCTGTCTCTGTGGCATTCACGTGATGATGATG